TACTGATTTTCCATAAAAGTTATACATTATAAAACTTAATATTTTTATGGAATTTTTATATCAAATTTTTTATTGGGTTGATTTTGTGGAGTAAAACTTGGAGGTTGAGGTGATCAGTGATGTATTAGATCATAGTCCAGATCATATAATTAGAAACTTTTTCAAGCTTTCTCAGAGAAAGATGGTTAGAGAGCACATATTTGTTAAAACTATGAATTGTTGCCTGGCTATCTAGGTAAACGTTCACCATTGCATTATTTGGAGATACTATGAAAGCAGTAAGAAGAGCATACATTTTGGTTCACGTGAAAGAAGGCCAATTTGTGAGTGAGGCTTTGAAGGTAAATGAACTGTTATCAGGGTATAAGCAAATCCAACTGAATCCTATTTTACAGTTATCCATCCGAGGTCCTCTTAAGAAGCCATCGGTATAAAATATTAAGGCTATTACACTAATAAATGTGTATTGCAATTGTTTAAGCTTGAGTGAGTGTATCAATGGTTGAATTAAAAGATCAATGATATTCTCAGAGAGCGGAGTTATTGGAGGGGGATCATTATATGCGCTATAAAAGATCATATTGGTAATATAAGAGATTTTCCTAAATAATTGTTTGGGTTGATTCTTGACTGTATGTGATTGCTTAGGAATAGTTTGGACTAAATAGGCCATAGCCTTAGTGATATTGATGATGCAATGCCCAGATGAAACAGTCTGTCTGCTGAGAGAACAACCAGAGCTGACAAACATTATTATGGTTGATGTTGTAAGTGAAATAGTAACAGATGAGATAACTACTGTTAGAGACATCGGCTATAATTTTTCTGAAAGTTAGATCATTGAGCGTTGTATTTCAGGTTAATACTATTTCTTTTGTTTGGCTATTAAAGGTAGGCACTTAAGAAATGGGTTTGTAATATGGTAAGGGGAAAGCTAGTCTGAATGCTGATTTGATCAATCTATATACATGATTTTCTAAAATAATGTTGTCTAATCTGTAAAAAAAATCAGATGAACTAAATCTTTTTGATTGGTGGTTAAAATCTATAAGAAGGAAATCAGACGTGGTAATTAAATGACGTCCTAAGGAAGAGACTAGTTGATCTAAAAAATATAAGTTATGGTTAATGAGAATCTTATTATAACGTTTCAGTAAACTACTAGAAAGGATTTTTGTGATAGGTTGGAAGCCTCCAGTAATTTTATTCATGAGGAAAGGGAAACATTAAGAGAAAGTTTTGATGATGAAAAATTAATTAGAGAGAGGGAGTCACCAATTAAGTTTCTATGTGAATTTTTGTTGAAAGAATGTGGCCAATAATTTAGGAGGGATGTAACAAGAACATTGCTTGACTGTAATTAGTAAAGTCGAATTAAAGAGATGTTCTTATAAAGGGATGAGTTACTAAATTGATAAATAAGAGCAGTTGAAAGGGATTTGATTTGTAGTAACCAGAGGTCGCTTAAGTTATAGAATTGTTTAGAGTTCAAAAGGGTGTTGGGAAGGGTAAGAGCGAATTTATTTTTATGTTTGAAAAGTGAACGTATGGGAGCGAAAATTTTATGACATTCATTTTTAATAGGGGTATTAGCTGCATGCGATATTCTAGCAGGGGATACAAAACTATATTAATAATATACGATAGTTGTTTGTCCATTAATAGTTTATATTTCATAGAGGTGACGAAGAAGTTACATCGAACTTGAGCTGCTTTTTGACGAATGATTGAGCTCTCTGACTGTTAATCTATATGTCTAGGAATCATACTGATCCTTCTTCAGGGGTGATATTGATAGTAGTTACGCTAAATTTGATAAGAACAGGGAGGACATCAACATGGCGGGTTGTCAACCATTTCGATTTGTCTTTGTTGAGTGCAGATCTGGTGAGACTATAAAATTCATCTGCAATATGTAAAATTTCTTCTAAATCTTGTTTAGAACTAGCCACCCAGTTTATATCGTCTATAAATGCAAGTGATGAAACAGAGGCTGATATAGTGCTGATATTCATAGAGGTGATGTTAGAAATCCAAATATGATCAATTGTATATCCGTTATTTAGGGAGCCTACTTCATAGAGTAAGGGGTCCAGATAGATACACTATACTAAAAGAAAAATAACTTCTTCTTAATCGATACCTATCATGACATCATATAAGTCAATGGTTCTCTGTGTTGTTAATATAGCATTTTTTCTCAAAGTAAAGAGGTTTATGATGAGTTCAGTAGCTAACTTAGGGACTTTGATTCTGTTTAAGGTGAGATGAAGGTAAGACAAATCTATGTGATCGTACGTCTTAAAAAGGTCTTGCAGGAGAATCCAAATTTCTTTATTCTTTTCGATAGCATCCCCTAATAGCATATTGATAATTTTTATAGGTAGTTCCATTGAACCTCCTGGCAATCTAGCGAAGTTTCCTCCTTTGAAAATGTTGTGATTAGCTAATATTCGGGAGAGTATATTGGTGATGATCTTAATAAGGCCTTTACGCGCAGTTTTAAGTAATGTAATAGGTCTGGTTTTAGTTATGTCACATTTCCATTTCATAGGTTTGGGAATGGGGTATATGTGAGCGATTTTCCATTCGTTAGGGATGTCACCTATAGTAAAGCACATACAGATGAGTTTTCAAAGAAGTTACTGAAGCTTGTCTCCAAGGTGAGCAATCATTTCATTGGTAATGCCAGAGGGACCAGCTGCTTTATTATTGGGAAGTGTTTTAAGGACAGCAAGCCATTCATCATATGTGGGAGGTTGCATGAGGTTGAAATAGTGCTGATCATTAACGTAGTCCTTAGGTTTATATTGTTCAGACCATCTGGAAGGTATAGGATACATAGGGGTTGGAGGAACAGCAAAGTTTTGAAAATGATCAATTGTGGCTCTCTTGATTTCTTCTGATTTGATGGTAAAATGTTTATCGCCTGAGTCCTTGTCTGTAATAAGCAGTCTATCAAGCACTATGGATCTTTTCTTCTGATTCAAGATAGAGACAATCATTTTAGAGGATCATCTTACAGGTTGTCACATCGCTTGTCTATAAAGGACTTGATAGCCGATTCTCTTATTTTTTGTATTTCAATTTTAGCTAGAACTGTTAAAGATTTGTAGAGATCCTTAATATTTAATTTGACGTCATTGATATTGTTAATTCGCAAAGAGGAAGGAAAGAAATACAGAGAAAGATTTAATTCTACGATCAACTTTTCCATATTGTTCTTGATATAGGACCATTCGAGAGATTCAGGCCAACAGTTTGTTTGTAAAAGTGAGTCTTTAAAATGGAGCAGGAATGAACTAACTTTCCTGGCTGCAAAGAAAGAGGAGGCTGATCAAAAGGTTGTTTATCTTTTTGTTATGGGGAAATCCAAACTTGAGGTATAACACATCTGTTGGCAGCTAGGATAGCAGTTTTAATATTTGTCCATAGAGTGTTCATATTGCATCTATTAGTGAAAAGGTTTGAGAGGCAATTCAGGTTGTGACATCTATAATAAAAATCTGTGTGCACAGCGAATTCATTCTATTTAGACGGGTTCATAGCTCTTAAATTAGAGACTTATCATTTGTTTTGTAAAGTACAACCTCAAGCATTTGATTGCGTATAACAATCAGCGAATATCGTGAAAACGATCTTATAGTCAGACGAGTAGAGGACTGGTTGATCTAAGTATGAATAAAGGAATTCTGAAGTGAAGTTAGGTGAGACAAAAATGGTGTCAATTCTTGAACTATGTGAGCCTGAGTGATATGTGGGTTAAGGTGTATCATGACAAACGTCATAAAGATCTAGGAAGTTCAATGTGAAGAGCCATTTGTAAAAGTCCATTTGCCAGTGTAGGACTTTGCCATTGTTAACAAGTGACCAGTAGGTATCAAAATTAGCGTTAAAGTCCCCTAGGATTATAGTCTTGAAATCCGCTCTGGTGTTATTATAAACATGTTTGATGATTATTTTATGTAGATTAAGCTATTCCGTCTTGATATCAGATTTAGTTAAGCATGTAAATAGATACAGAAGATGTGAAGTTTAGTATTTCCAGGTAAATACAAGTCTATATAGATAAATCGATCATTATCCAGATAGGCTTTTTAGATGTAAACAGCCCAGGATTTTTTAACGAGAATGCTAACTCTAGCGTGTGAGTTAACACTAGTCAAAATAATCCAAATCGGCTAAAAATTGGATGGCTGATTTTAAACTGATTTTGATACTATTTACATCTAATTTGCCATATTTTTCGATTGGCACAAACAGGTGCTGATAGATACCGATCGACCCCAATCGGACATGGCCATTTAGAACTTAAATTTAACCATAAATCAGCCTAAAACTGGCCTCAATTCAGCAACAATTCAGACACCAATAGACGCCGATCGACCCCAATCGGACATAGCCATTCGGAACTTAAATAACTATAAATCAGCCTAAAATTAGTCTCAATTCGGCAACAATTCAGATGCTGATAGACTCTAATCAGACAAGCAATTCAACCATACATCAGCCAAAATTAGCCTCAATTCAGAATCAATTCGGCAACAATTCAGACATCAATCGATACCAATTGACTCCAATCAGACAAGCAATTCAGCATCAATAATTGGTACATTTTATTTATTAAATTTATTAAATATTAAATTTTATTAATAATAAAAACCTAATATAAATTTGCAAAAATATAACAAAATATCACTAAAATCTACTGATTAATTTCCAATTAAAAATAGAATAATAAAATAATAAAATCTGATCCATTTCTTCCCAAAATCCCCTTAAATCATCCTAAATATAGATAAATAAATAATTTATGATAAAAATATGATTTATTCCTTCCAAAATCAACCAAAAAATGTAAAAATAATAAATATAAAATGTAGAAAATAGAAAAATCAACCCAAAATCACCCTCAAAAATGTAAATAATTATTAAAATCGACCTGTTTTCACCCCAAATCGCTCAAAAAATGTAAAGGTAATTATTAAAATCAACCTATTCCCACCAAAATTGCCCGAAAAAAATGTAAAGATAATTATTAAAATTGATCCATTCTCATCCAAATTGCCCAAAAAACGTAAAGATAATTATTAAAATCAACCCGTTCTTACCCCCAAATCGCCCAAAAAAAACGTAAAGATAATTATTAAAATTGACCCATTTCCACCCCCAAATCACCCAAAAAAAACATAAAGATAATTATTAAAATTGACCTGTTCCCACCCAAATCGCCCAAAAATTCATCATTCGCTATCGTCCATTATGGAATCGTTATCTTCTTCAGCAGCAGATAAAATCCCCTTCCAACTTTGGTATATTTCTTGATTTCTGTTACATATTCTTCTGCAGTTGTAACTCCTACTTTGACCTCAATATTATAGACCGTATCAGGTTATGCTTTATATAATCACTTTGAAGCATTATAGGGATGTGG